CTTCATAAAGGAACCAGTAGAAGAAAAATCAAGCATGGATTGATCATCAAGAGAAAGCCGAACATAATTTTTTGTATAATAATTTCTCTAGAGAGCTCATGATTGGGGCATGTGTACATCATGTACTTAAGCCTCGCCCAAGCTTGAGCGATACTTTCTTCTTCACGAGGCCAATAATTATATATATATATATATATATATATATATATATATATATATACATATAATTTCGATCACGAAAAACCAGATGGATACGATAAAACTTCTGATGAAATTCCAATTTCAACTGGTTCCAATCCCATGTTCCAATATCATCCAATAGCCTATACCATGTAAATGTATTTCCCTCAAAAGATAAAGGGAATACCTTCTTCTTAACTCTATCCTCAGATAAACCTGCAAGCTTAAACAATCCACACATTTCTTCCACATAGATCAAGTGCATATCAGGATGTACGGTTCCATCTCCTGCATAAGGATTAGCTAGTAGTTTCTCTAACGTACCCTAAGGAATCTCATAATAAATATTTTCAGTAGGTTTAGTAGGTTGAGGGTCAACTCTTATTGCTTCCTGTCGAGGTGAAGATACCCCGAACAAACCCCTCAAAGGATTACTTTCCATAGCGACAAGTAGCAGTAAATTTTATCACATAATATAAATGTTTCCTTGCCAAATTCCACTTACCAAAGGCGCTTCACTCCCTGGCAACGGCGCCATAAAAGAGTCTTGATGACCTAGAAGTATATGGGATCAATCTTAGTCCTTTTAATAAGTAAGAGTGTCGAGCCCAATGAGGAGCAGAAGGAAATGACAAACGGTTTTCAGCAAGGTATTCTCTGCAAGCACTGAAATTATCGGTAACAGATAGTTTGATAGCATGATAATTTGTAACGAGCAACAAGTAGAAATGTAACAAAGGTGTAGCAAGGTGGCCAGCCCAATCTTTTTTGTAGTAAAGGACAAGCCAGAACGGTCTCTTATAATAAACAAAGTGTTCTCGAGGACACATGGGAATTACCATCTAGTTACTTTCATCATGTTTATTTGATTCACGTTCACTACTTTGATAATTTGATATGTGGGTGGAGCGGTTCTTGGGTGCTGTTCTTACTTGAACAAGCCTCCCACTTATGATTAACCCCTCTCACAAGCATCCACAACTACAAAAGAAGAATTAAGATAAATCTAACCATAGCATGACACATATGGATCCAAATCAGCCCCTTATGGAATAACACATAAACTAGGGTTTAAGCTTCTGTCACCCTAGCAACACATCTACTTATTACTCCACAACGCCTTCCCTTAGTCCCAAGTATGGTGAAGTGTCATATAGTGCACGTTCACATGACACCACTAAAGGAAGCAACAACATACATATCATCAAAATATCAAACAAATACCAAATTCACATGATTACTTATAATAAGAATTCTCCCATGTCCTGAAGAACAAATGTAACTACTCACAAATCATATTTCAAGATTAGAGGGGTATTGAATATCATCAAATACCTGAACATATAATCTTACACTAAATAAACCAACTAGCATCAACTATGAGATGTAATCAACACTACTAGCAACCCACATATACCAATCTAGGTTTTGAGACAAAGATCGAATACAAGAGATGAACTAGGGTTTGAGATGAGATGGTGCTGGTGAAGATGTTGATGAAGATTAATCCTCCCACGATGAGAGGGTTGTTGTGATGTTGATGGCTTAGATTTCCCCCTCCCGGAGGGAAGTGTCCCCGGTAGAATCGCTCTGCCAGAGAGCTAAAGTGCTCCTGCCCTGGTTCCACCTCGAGACGTTGGCGCTTCGTCCTGAAAGTTCTCTCTTGAATTTTTCTAGGTCATAACCCTTCATATAGCTGAAGATGGGGGCCAAAGGCCAGCTATGGGCCCCACAAGGCATTAGGGTGCGCCTAGGGGGGTGGGAAACTAGTGGGCCCCCTCTGGTACTTCTTTGCTTCAGTATTTTTTTATATATTTCGTAAAAGTTCTCTGTGAAATTTCAGGTCATTTGTAGTTCTGCAGAATAGGTATCTCTGATGTAGCTTTTCTAGGTCCAAGATTCCAGCTCCCGACAATCTCACTCTTCATGCAAATTAAGAGATAAAAGGCATTATAATTGCATCACAAAGTGTTATAATGATAAAAACATTATAAATAACAGTAGGAAAACATGATGCAAAATGGACGTATCAAAACCTCCCAGATTTCAGCATAGAGAGACAAATAGAAAGTTCCAAGATCCAATCTCGGGGGAGGCTCTCACCCTCGGGAGGCCAAAGACATCATCGACTAGAGGAGGAAAGTTTCTCCCATCTAGGGAGAAGGCCAAGGAATAAGAAGAAGGAGGGGGCTCTCTCCTCCTCTCTTTTGGTGGCCTCGGAGTGTCGTCGTGGAAGCCATCATCGCCGTCATTATCTCCAACGTCGTCATCAACATCTCTATCACCTTCCTCTCTATACAATGGTCCAGTCTCCCGCAAACCTCTGTAATACCCTACTTGGACATGGTTTTTGATGATATAAATTATTATCCAATGATTTGTTTCATCCCTATTACGTCCGAGTAGATTATTTTTGTCATTTGGGTTAATTCATGAATTACTATGATTGGTTTGAGTTGTATGTGGTTATGTTATTGTCCTTTGGTGCTCATCATATGAGCGTACACGTGGATCACACCTTAGAGTTAGTGTTATGATGATAAGACTATGCATACGGTGGCATGAGCTATTGAAACCTCGCCACACCATAGAAATTAATGCATATGAGATTGAAGGGGTGCCAATATATCTTAAATTCTTAATGCTATGGTTGGGTCTTTACCTTATTGATGAAAGTGTTAGTATTTCCGGATGCTTGCTAATAGTTCCAATCATAAGAACGTATGATTCCAAGTACGAATAGTATGTTAGCAGAGCCACCCCCACATATATAAAACGGCAATTATGATAATCATTCTAGTAACTTAGCTAATTGCTTAGGGACAATTCCGCAAATCCTACCACCGCCTTTTCACACTTGCTATCTTTATTTTATTGCACTTTTATTTAAACAACACCTAACTTCTATTTCCAAGTTCTTTATTATCTTGCAAAACTAGTTTTGACACCTGTAAAGTATTTCTAGTTTTATTTTCTAGGTAAAGCAAACGCTTGACTTACATAGGGTTGTATCAGTGGCAGATAGGACATGAGAGAATACCAGTCCTACCTTCAACTCCTTGTGGGTTCGACACTCTATACTTACCACCTCCATCATTTGAAAGTGCTATGACAATTCCCTGCACTTGGGGATTATCAAGCTACAACAAGGAAGTGACACAAAGGGTGGCACGAGCAGAGAAAAAAAGGGTTGCATAGGTGGCACAGGAGGAGGTGAACAGAAACCTTTGGGAGCAATTATAGGTTAGTTCTTTCCTATAATAGATAGCCAAAAAATTATCTGATAACATTTTTTGCTACAATGCTAACAAAAATAATTGGAGATGCTTCGACAATATATCGAGGTTTTGAACTGTACAGTTCCTCCTCCTTCTCCACAACCCTAGAGCATGCGTCCATAGAGTTAATCTTCTGCGCCACCGAGAGGTGGCTGTAATTAGTAATGGACTTGTGATGAGAATGATGCTATGTGTGATTTGCTACGGCATATGGGAATTACCGCTGTAGTTGCGAATTGCTATATGATGTGAAATGATGTATGTGATATGTGCCTAGGTATATATGATGTGATATGAATTGCGCTTTATGATGTTTGATATGCCTATGTAACATGTGATATGAGTGTGATATGTGATACTCTCCTTGCTATATATATATGTGCTATTGTAGGGCTGATTGCAAAAATATAGAAGAAGAAAAACTGCTAACCAGAGCTTTGCCGAGTGTTACACTCGGCAAAGGCGCACGCTGGTAACTCTTGGCAAGATTTTCTGAGTTCCTCCCGAGCAACACTCGGCAAAGGATGCCACTTGACGTATGCTAACTCCTGGAAAAATTTGTTGAGTTCCTTCAGATAGAAACTCGACAAAGACTGCCACATGGCAGTTGCTGATGACTCCTGGAGTAAGCGTTTGATGAGCACCTTACAAGCAACACTCGACAAAGGTTATGCTATGTGGCACTCCCTCATCCGTCAAGGTATTGTCGAGTTTCGCCTGGGAAGGAACTGGCAAAGGTTGCACCATGTGCCACACCCTCGTTTATTGTTGCATTGCGGAGTGCATCCAAAAAAGAACTCGACAAAGACGTGTTGCCATGTGACACTACCATTAATGCGCCGCTCTGTTTGCACTTTTCGTTTGTCGAGTTCCCTATACACGGTACTTGTCAACGATTTTTGTATGTGTTTGTCGAGTGCCTGTGAAAAAAAACTCGACAAAGTCACTTTTGCCAACAGTCGGCCAACCGAGTCGTGTTCACCGATGTGGGACTCGACAAATGCTTTGCCGAGTGCCTAATTTGAAAATTCCAGTAGTGCAAGGCCAAGCCAAGACTGAGCCAGGGCCGGTGACAAGGAGGGGTGTTGTCGACAATGGCGAGTCAGAGGTTTTGACATGTGCGAGTGGCGGCCGTATCCTTTTGACTCCCTCTTGGATTGGAAAACGCCCAAACTCGAGAGGCGATTCAACATCGCCTGTGAGGGTTCAGATGTGACCTCGCTGGAGGTGAGGATAGGAGGCTTGCCGGAGGCGGGGACAAGACGGTGTTAGAAGCAATCATGTTGTTTGTCGAGGGGAAGAAGAAAACAGTTCAAGGAAGAAGAAATACATCCGGCCGTTCCTTTCTGATCCAACGGCTTGCACAAATCGACCCAAACTTTTTTTCAAACGATACGGGCCTTTTTATTCATTTCTTATTTTAACAACTCTATACACAACCGATCGATCATATCTTTGTCAACATTTGGCTTGCAAGGGCGCACGCATGTTTGCACGCCGACACGCGCGCATCCTCCCAAAGTCGACCGGCGCCGCTAGCTGCTAGACGCGTCCGGGGACGGCGCTCAGAGGCAGGCCCATTGCCTGATCGCCGCACCGCTGGAACTCGGCGACGTGCGACGACGGCGGCAGCTGCATTCCCTGGGGCGCCGACGCTGTAACCGGCAGCGGCGCCGCGCCCAAGGGTTTCCCGTCGGCGACTACGACGTCGCCGCCGCCGCAGGAGAGGCGGCAACTGGCCATTTTTGAGCAGTCGTGGCGGCTGACGATGGTGTAGGTGCCGTTCCGGTACAGCTTCATGACGTAGCACCCCAGCTGGGCGTACGTCTCGCGCGGGGCCGTGGCTGCCGCTGCCGCCGGCCGCACGGACGCAGCGCGCCCGGCGGCGACGTCGGGGTCGTAGCACAGGAGGTGGCACCAGTCCCAGTAGATGGGGCAGTACCTGATCAGCATCGGGTTGCGCCCGGTGCAGAGGTAGCAGAGGTACATCTCCGTGTCGTCGATGGACTGGGCCACGGACGAGTCACCCGTCGTGCTGCCGTCGCCGCCCGTGGCCATGGCCGCGAGCAGCAGGACGGCGAGGGAGGCGGCGCGGAGGACGGATACCGCCGAGAGAGGCATCGCGTGCAAGACCGAGAGCGAGAGGTGGTGCTTGCGTTGCTGCAACTGCTGGGAGTGATGTGATCGAGCCGGAGTTCGTTCTTCGCTTTATCTGGACACGGTCATACAGATACAGATGCATGTGCACGTATGCTCGACAAATCTTGCTGCGGGAAAGAAGAAAAGGAGAAAGAAAAAGTGCCCAGCAGCCCAAGAATTTGGCTGCGTGTGCTTCTCCCGGTAAGAGACAGCAGATGATTAAAGCATTTTGGATCAGTAAGTACTCTCATCTCGGGAAAATGGTGTTGTGGTTACAGCTCGGCGAAATTGGCTGGAATACAACGCGTGGAACTGAATCGACCGACCAGGAGACCTGTGAGAAAATTCCAAGCAGTAAACCGGCCCGAATTCATGCATGGTCGCCTACTCATCTTAGCTCAGAAGGCAATGGATGCTGTTGAACTTGAACAGTGCGTGCCACAGCCATATCCGGAAAAACAAATCACCGAATCGCCGAGTTGCTTTCTGCCACAAAACGAGGAGAGGCGATCGAAAACAAACCACGGACTCGTGATTAATTAGACTGAGATGGAAGAATTTTTCTTGTCTGTCCCGCGAGAAACTGGGATGGTTAAATCTTGCTTAAGCCGGTAGAAACCATCTAAACCGAATCATATGGCCGTGGCTTAGAGCCTTAGACGCCGTTGCCTGCCGCCGGGAACTGATCGCCGCACCGATGGAATTCGGAGGCGCCGGGCAACGGCGACCCCCTGGCCAAGGCCGGGGTGGTGTCGTCGGCTCTGCTCCCAAGCGCCGCGTCTCCATGGCTGCACACGAGGTAGCAGCCCGCCACCGCCTTGCAGCTGACCGTTACGGTTATGACCCACCTGCCATCCGGGTACAGCTTCATGACGTAGCAGTCGTCGGCGTTCGAGCCGCCAGGGCCGGTTCCCAGCGTGCCCTTCCTACCTTCGACGTCGGCGGCAGGGTACAGCTGGGGGTGGCGGGTAGGGGACGTGGACGACAGGCATGCGAGGTGGCAGTCGTCCTTGTAGAGGGGACACCACTTGATCATCAGGGTGTTACGCTGATGGCAGAGGTAGCAGATGTACTGATCCGAGTACTGATCCGAGCTGTTGAGCGCCGCCGTCGCTGCAGGGGACTCGACGCCGTTTACGGTGTTGCTGTTGGCCACCGCCGTGGCGTTGGTGACACCGGACGTGGGAAAGGGCGTGGTGTTCCTCGCGACCGCTGTGGTGGCTAAGAGAACGACGTGAACGACGAGGCAAATGTACATGATGGAAGCTACGATAACCATTCTCATGCTTGAGAATGTGGGCGTGTTTGCAGTAATGGAGATTATGAAGGTAGTCCTCTCTATATAATATAATCCTGGTTGTAAGCATAGTGTGTAACTTTCATACATAGGGCAAGTTGCTATGAACGATTCTACAGGGCTAGCTAGTATATATTTACAATTCTACAAGCAAGGAAATACATTATAACACCATTAAAACCCCAAAAGTAAAAGAGAAAGTTTTAACAATGTATTATCTTTGCCGTTAAATTTTGATATGTTAAAAACTGGCATTTGAAGTTATTTTATTGTTTTTCTACGCTTGACACGTACAATATATGTTAGGTAGTAGAACAGAATATAGAGTTAACATTTACCGTTTGTTAGAAGGGAAACATCCTAGAACGGCACACCGTTCTAATCTCGCGCCAGTCACGTGGGTGTCGTGAGATCGGGCGAGATTGGACGCACCACATAGCATGCACACGTGTCCACCCACTCACCCACCGCCCGTCATTCTTCTCATTCTTATCCATTCACGCGGCGTGTGCTCACCTCCCATCTTCCACCTCCTCCCGCTCCCTACCTCGCACCAGACCTCACTGGAGACGGCAATCGTCTACCCCGCAGCAAAATCTCCCTCGCACTCCGCTGCGGGGAGGTAGTTGCGCTCACCCCTGTGGTCACCTGTTGTCCGCCCACCACCTCCCGATGTCCTCCCATTCCTCACCTCGCACCACACCTCGCCGGAGACTACCGCCAACACATCTTCGGTCCACAACGCGCTCGACCCAAGCCCCCCTCCTCCCGTTGCTGCGACCGTGCCCGATGGGTGCTTCAACCGACGCCACTGGAGCGCCACGACTGTTGTCGGGTGATGGTGTCCTGAATTAGGCGGTGCTAACCTAGTCGGCCCATGCTCCTCGGGTTGGGCCGATGGGTCCTCATTCGTGATCAAGATGGACTCCGGAGGCCGTATGCAGGAGGCATGATCAAGACTACCTCCACCGAAGAGTTGACGTATACTCCAAGATTTCTCATGTCGCCTTGCTACTCGATACCGACCTTGTGACCCTGGATACCCTGCCTGGCGTGTATATAAGCCGTAGGGTTTAGCCCATAGAGGGGACATCAACGCAATATCATTCACCTAGCTCTAAAGTTAGACCACATCTTACGATCTCGAGGTAGATCAACTCTGTACTTGATACATCTCCATTAATCCAAACAAGAGCAGGACATAGGGTTTTACCTCCATCAAGAGGGCCCGAACCTGGGTAAAACACCATCTCTTTGTTCCTGTTAATATCCATCTGAGATCCACAGCTCGGGACCCCTGCCCCGAGGTCTGGCGGTTTTGACACCGACACCAGGGTACTGCGATGGCAGGTCCCACGCCCTGCAGTACTGCAACTAGGGCAGTCGATGTTGGAACTGCGACGACAGGATGTTGTAACCAGTGACAGAGCCATGAAATAAATGAAGGGTGTGCACACCTATTTTTTCTACCTAATCCAAGTGTCATACAATAGTTGGCCAAAATAATAATACAAATAACTCAATCAAGTCAGACAACATTATAGTTCACAAAATATTCCAAATTTTCAACATTGCAAATACAAATAGTCTTACATGAAAGATACACATAAGTAGAAAACTACAACACTAAGTAACTCTAAGACGCTCCTTTGTCATGAGAGCTTCAACTATGTCATCCTCACTTACTTTCAAGAACACATCTCGCTCAATTAATGTCACTCAGCAATAGTTGATGAGATCATCACCCATACTATTTCTCAAGTTATTTTTCACTAGATTCATTGCCAAAAATACTGTTTCAACACTTGTCGTTGCCACTGGTAAGATCAATACCAATTCGATAAGCAAGCAAACCAAATCATAAAGAACATTTTTTCAACATGCAAAATACAAAGCTCACCAATATTATGAGCAGATCTGAACCTATCATCTTGTCTCATATCATCAATAAAAGTAACAAGTTGGAATTCAAGCCTTACTAAATTCATGTTTTATATGTCCTTGGGGTAGAATTCAACAAGTTTTATTACCTTGAGTGCATCATAAGAAGCAAAGAATTGACATGATTCAAAGCAGACATGCAAATAAGCAAATACATATTAACCTCATCAAACCAATTGTCCAGCTCTTGAATGATTTGATAAAAGATACCAAGATATACTTCTCTCCTATAACGATCATTATTTGTTGCACTTCATAACATCGACACGATCTTCTTTGACAAACATAAATATTCTCGGGTAGAGGAACTTTAGTGCCATGTTTGTTGCAAAACAATGTCACCTTTGTAAGAAATTATTCCCATCCATGAGACCTCATATGTCTCATTCTACTATTTGCCAAACTAACAAGTGTCATTGCATTAACAATATCTTTGTCTCTCTTTTGCAATGATTGAGACAACTCATTGGTGTAGCCAAGAATAAAAAAGTAAGTGAAGATTGAAAACAAAGTCAAATGACTCCAAGGCAAAAGTCACTCCACGTATTGTTGTCCACTCACCCCTTTGTGAAGGATCTTTTCCAATGGTATCAAGTACTCCAAGAATTGTGGGGTACATGCTAATAATGTGCAAAATGGTTCTAAAATGAGAACTTCATGGAGTATCACGGGGTCTAGCTAATCACATCTCTTGATTTAACCCACTTCCACTTTCACTTTCACACATTTCAAGTACTTCCAAAACCTTTTGAGCTCTGACATCTCAAAGCATGTCATGACGCTTGAAGAAACTCCAATAATATTGAGCATGTAAGAAACATGATAGAAAAACCACCCCCACATGGTACATTTCCCTTTGCCACGACAATAAGAACCAATTCAAGTTGAGGTGCAAAGCAATGAATGTAATAAGCAGAGGGTGACTCTTTCATGATCAATGTTTAACCCTTTAATCTTCCCTTCCATGTTGCTAGTCCCATCATATCCTCGCCCACAAATTTGATTAAGATTCAAATTATGAGCAGTATTCAATTGTAGATTTAAGTGACAATGAAGTTGTGTTGGCAAGACAAACAACTCCAAGAAACCTCTAGCATCCCTTTCGAACTTTATTAACATAACATATGAAAATAGCAAGTTGCTCTTTGTAAGATACATCACTACACTCATCGGCTAGGATTGCATAGTGGTCATCACCAAGATCTTCAATAATATATTTTCTAGTTTGCACTTCACAACATTCAATAATTTCTTTTTGTATTGTTGGACTAGTTAAGATGCAGTTTCCAAGAGCATTGTGTAAAACAATCTTATTAACTTGTGCATCATTTTATGAAAGCCATTTTAGAAGTTCAAGAAATTTTCCCCTATTGCAGGATTCTTCACTCCCATCATGTCCAGGAAATGCCAATCCTTGGTTCAAAAGAAACCTCAAGCATCTAGGTGAATAAGTTAGCCTCGCCTTGTAAATAGGTAGATCTTGTTTAGACACCTTCACAATGATATTATTAACTGACGTTTGAGGTGTCACAAATAAATTGTACTTTTCTTGAGCTTGGTATGAATGCTACCAATGTCGCCCACATGTTTTTCTAGTGCATCAAGTTTGTTCCAAATTCTCAAACATTTTTGACAAAGGCATCACCACTAGGCCCCACATTAGTTTTCCATTTGAACACATAACACATAAAGCAATAAGGTGCTTCCTTTGAGACACTATATTCTAGCCATCTGTACCTTGCAA